GCCCCAAGAGGCCTCCCAAGCCTCCCCAAAGAGCCCTAAGAGGGCTCCAAGACTCCCCAAATGAGGCCCAACAGGCCCCACGAAGGCCCCAAGAGGACCCCAAGAGGGCTCCAAGATGGCGCCAAAATGGCATTACGACACTTCGAAGAAACCCTCACCACAATATATCCCCTAAGCCCGACTTCTCATTCTTTGTCATCGTCCCCTCCTGTTTTTCTGCTTGTCCTCCTCCTCCTCCTCCTCTTCCTCCTCGTCTTCCTCCTCCTCTTACCCCCAAGATGGTCCCAGGCATCGTCAGCACCAGCAGCACTATCAGTGGCACCAGCATCAACACCAGCAGCAGCGGTACCATAAGCACAAATTTCAACGACAACACCAACGATACCAGCAGCTACAGCCCGACACCCTTCGCTACAAGAGCTCTCCCAACTCACTGGTGTTGCCAATCAACCCACCGTGGGACATCCGCGCCTTCCTTCCTCCCTTCCTGCCTCCTCCCTCCTCCTCTTCATCCTCCCCGTGCCGCTTTCCTGCTTTTCCTTCTCTTCCCCGTCCTCCTTCTCCGTTTTTCATCCTCCTCCTCTTTTTCCTCCTACCCCCAAGATGGCCCCAGCAGCAGCACCACCAGCAGCAGGAGCACCACAAGCAGCAGCACCAGCAGCAGCACAAACACCAGCAATAGCAACATCTGCACCAGCATCAACAACAGCAGCGCCTGCAACAGCATCATCAGCAGCACCGGCAGCAGCACCAGCACCTGAGCAATTTCGTAACGAACGCGCGTTTAAGATACAAATCAGTGCAAGGGTTAAGATCAAGGATGTATATCGAAATGCGACTCTGATCTGCGCGCCGCTGGCGTCGGATCGTAAATACAGGAACCTACGCCAGAGACGCTTACCAAAGCGAGCACCATGGCGCATCTTGCACCGACTTCTGTCTTAAGCTTCACTGCGCGAAGGTCCTTATTTTCTGGCCCAGGGTACGGCCAACCCTGGTTTGACGCTTCCAAAACAGCTGTGCGACCGCGTGCTTCCAGGCGTCCCTGATTGACCAACTCACCTGGTAATCGTTTCTGGATGAACGTTTACCACGGGGAACCTCACGGCGTATCTCGCACGAATTTCGGTCTCAAACTTCAATGGGGGAAGCTGTGTGTGATCATTGCTTTTCTGGCCCGAGGTACGGCACCCCAGTTTTGAAAACAAGAATGCCAATGCGCACGGCGGTGTCTATGTGCAGCTTCTGCGCCCCTTCCAACACGCTCCCAAGGCGGTTGCGAAACCTCGTGCCCTAATCTGCGCACAACACAAACGTCGGATCGTGCATACAGCAACCTGCGCCAGAGACACTTACCACAGAGAACACCATGGCGCATCCTGCATTGATTTCTGTCGTAAACTTCACTGCGCCGAACTATTTGTGATCCTTGTTTCCTGGCCCAGGGTGATGCCCTCCCTGTTTTGACGCTTCCAAAACAGTTGCGCGACCGCGTGCTTCCAGGCGCCCCTGACTAACCAACTCACCTGGTAATCGTTTCTGGATGGGCTGGTGGGGATACGCGAAGCGCAAAGAATTGCGACGCGAGTCCAGCGGTGACGACGAGGACCTCCCGGGAGGCCCAACAAAAAAGACGACGAGAGAAAGGTACTGGTGTGGGTACCTTTGCCTCCTCTGATCTGGGCCTCGTGAGGGGTGGGAGGCCATCTGAGCCTCCTGGGAAATCCTCGGGATGCCCTGGGCCAGGGCCTGGGCCCTGACGGCCCCGGGGGGCCCAGAACTGGCCTCTGGGCGCCGAGGATGGCGAAAGGCCGCCGCCTGTATGAATGGATATCTGGATACATATACATATATACGTGTATATATACACATATATATACATATATATATATATATATATATATATACATATGTACATGCGTATACAAATGTATGTACATATGTGTATATAGACGTATGCAAATGCACATGCATGTTTATGTATGCAGATATATACATATGTATATACAAGTAGTTTTCCTTCTCTTCACCTGTCCTTTCGCCCTCTGCTCCTGGAGTGGGACGGGACCCAACAGCGGGAACCATTTTTGGGTCACTGAGGCGAGCCACACCAGTGATGCTTTGGCGTGATAGCTAACACGCGCCCGGTTGCCGCGAGCCTTCACGAGGCCGGCCTCGCTGGGCGGCTCGGCCCACGCACCTGGCTGGGACGAGGCCGCCACAGGTCGGAAATTGGCTGCGACTGCGACGCCGCCACTGGACAGGGAGGCGTCAGAACGCGACACCAAGGGTCAAGCTTAGCCCGCAAGTTCGCGAACGCGAGCGGGAGCAACACCGCGAACGAGAGCACCTCGTCGAAGGGCGCCGCCTCAAGGGCCGTGGAACCGCCCTCCAAGAGCGGGACCTGCCAGAACACCTCATGGAGGACAGCGCACAGCGGCCGCCGAAAAACTGACGCGAAGCATGCTTTCCCGCGCCAGTGCCAAAGCTGCCAGATGCCTCACGTCTTCTGCGACAGCAGCGAGAGGCCGATCCATGCTAGCTCGCACCCCTTCGAAGGCTCGAGACCGAAGGCGCCGCTTTCCGAGTCCAGGAAGCCACCCTGCAAAGAGGCGCGCGTGGCGCCCATCAGCGACTTGCTCGCGTTCAGGGGCAGCCCTAGGTCAGCGCGCACCTGCACGCAGCGCTCGTGCTCGGGTGCGTCTTCGCCCGCCAGGGCGGTAATGGCAGCCTCGTCGGCAACCCTGAGGCGATCGTAGGAATCGAAATATAGGATGGAGACCTCGCTCTGGTCGGGGAGGTCGCGGCCCTTCTGAACCACCGCGTCGCGAGGGGTCCCCGCCAGGCCGAACGCCATCTCCCGAGCCACTGCCTGCATCACTGCGACCGGGCTGACCCAGCCCATGGGCACCACCCTCAACGCAGGCCTCACCCACTCGCGATCAGGCATTCCCACGACGTGGCCTGGAACCCGCTTCCCGTAGCTGAAGTATCCGAGCCGCTTGTCCGGGAGCGTGAACAACTTGAAGCAGCTCTCAAAATCTTCAGAGCCGATGAGGATTTCCTCGCCCTCCTGGAGGTAGAGGAAGGCAATCTGGCCCACGCACGGCAACTTGTCGTCGTCGCGGGGGGCGCGGACCCAGTAGTCGTTGATGGGGCAGAATATGCCGATGAAGCGGAGCAGCCCATGGCGCGTGTGGCCGACGACCTTGATCTTCTCAACGCCCCCGGCCCCGGCGCGCACGGGCTCGGCGCCGGCCCCGTGGAAGACCTGGTCCTCCTCAGCTGGCCGCGCCATGCCTCTCTGGCAGGCTGCCGCCACCAAGCTTGCCCAGGCACCGTCGGAAGCCCGGGAGCAACTCTTGCGAGACAACTCGGGCCAACAGGCGCGGTCGAGGACATCGAGCTCAGGGTGGGCGACCATCTCGAGCACCTCGCCTTCGAGGAGCGTGGTCAAAGGCTGGATCGCCGCGGAGCCGGCCGCCGGCCAGGCAAGCAGCACCTTGGCGGGGGTAAGCGGCGAAAACATATTCCAAAATGGCCCCCCCCCAAAAAAAAAAAAAAAAAATCCCCGGACTATCTTTTACTATTTTGGAATATGTTCTGGGTATTTTCTATGTTTCGTCGAAAATCCCTCTGTAGGGGGACAGGCCGGACTTAAGGGTAAGTGGCTCCATTTTGACCACCAACCCCACTGCTCCGCAGTCCCCAGGCTGGGGCTGCATCTTGCGCCGGAGGGCGCGGACTGGCGGCATGGCGCCCGCCTGGTCAGGTTGCCGGCTCACGAACGACGCGACGGCACCAGCGACATGCCGGACGAGCAAGAGCTGCGGCCCCGATAGTCTCGCACTCGGCGCGTGCCTCGCAGGTCCCGCGTAGCCCGCGACGTAGTGGAAGTTGAGGGCGGTGCAGATGTTGTAAGTCCATTGACTCACCCCGTTGTCCTATAGGTGCTTCGCGTGGTCCACGTCCTCCTGGGCGCAGGCGTCCACGACCCTGCGGCTGAGGAGATCCCTCGGGCTGATGGCCCTGACCGCCGCGACGGGGATGGGCAGAAGGTCCTGGGAGGCTGGACGGAGATCGCGCCCTCACGGTCCTCAGCGGGGAGATGGCCTTGCCGCCGATCAGCCTGTGCCGCCTCTTGCCGGCCTTGCCCTTCCCCTCGCCCTTCTTGCCTTTTGGGCGATAATCGCTCTCGACGCGGCCCCTGCTCCAACCCGTCCGAAGATCCTGCTCGACCCTCGCGTCCCTCGCGATGGCCACCTCTTCGTCGCGATCGAGTAGACCAGCGCCCTCCTGCGGGATCAACTCCAGCAGCTGGGCCCTCATCCACCCGCCGTCGGTCAAGGACTTGTCGATGGCCTTGATCCGCAGGGCGACCACGTCGACCGCCTCGGCGTTCTTCTGGGTGGCCTGCATTTCGAGCATGAGGCACGGGGTCTGCAGCTCCCGCTTGCGAAATGGAGCCGACGCGCGCGCTCCCCGCGGTCCGCATGCCGCCGCGGCGCACTTCCATCGACAGGGCTTCCGGAACTCGTCGTGCGACCCCCCAAAGTGTCGAACCACGAGAAGATGCTATAGACTGGCGGCGGATCGCATGAGTGGGACCCATCACTCCCAGTTCATACAGCGTCGCCGTCGGTGGAGTAGCCCCAGCGCTGCCGCCTCAGCCCAGACTTGCGCACATCGCCCCTCCCCCCTTGCTGACAATGGCCCCCATCTTGAGGAGGAGGCGCGCCGCCAGACGGCCCAGATACCTCTGGGCGTAGGCCACCAGCTGGAGCTGCTTGCTCCAACTGCAGGAGGGAGGGGCGTCGCGAAAATACGACCGAGAACCGGATCGTGCCCACCTCCTCCGGCCCCGCAAGCGCGATCTCAAGCTCGAGCTGAAGACGGCCTCCGCCGACACCAAAGGGTCCCCGGTCACCACCACACGTGCAAGAACGGCGACGGCGCTGCCTGCTCCGTGGCCAGGGCGCGGGCGTCGGATCTCCCCTGACGGGGGTAGCGTGCCGACGATCTCCCTCGGCTGGAGGCGGTGCACGGCCGGACGCACGAGGGGCGACCCGATCTCCACCGCGCCACCCTGCCCGAACAAGCATTGCCTCGGCCGCTCCTCTCGCCCAGTGGGCTCTTCCTGACTCCGGCGGGCACGCGAACGCCCGCGCCGCTGTCCACCTCCTTCGAGAAGATCCCGTGCAAGCACGGCCAGTCTGTCCTGCATGCCCTCGCCACCTGGGTCGCCTCGATCTCCCCTGCCGTCGGCAAGGGGTACACCAACATCATCAACATCGAAGAGCTCGTCGCCGTCAGCTCCTGCAGGAAAGCCGCTGGGCGGCAGGGCTGGGCGGCCGCCACTGCCCTTCCCCGCCAGGTCGGTTTCCACCTGCTCGGCTGCGGGTGACTTGGCAGCCCACGGGATTGCACCACGCGTGAGCCCTTCAATGGAGACGACCCTCGCCTTGGAGAAATGGGCAGCGTAGTCATGGCCCGTCTTCATGCTGGCGCAGTGGTTCGGGCCACCCCGACCAAAGTGGATCGCCTGTGGCTCAGGCGGCCGCGTGCCAGCTGGTGCGTCGAGGACGCACCAATCGTAGTACGGGTCGCTGGTGGCCACGCCCTTCGCCTCGAGCCAGCGCCCCTGGGAGGAGGCCACCGAGACCGAGGTGAGCTCCACGATCATGGTGCCCTGCTCAATGCGCTGGTCGTCGTAGCACGGGATCTCGAGCAAGACCCCGCGCTGGCGGCCGAAGTGCTCGAAGAAGTCGGGGTCGGCCACCGCATCGTACCACGGGCCGACGGGAACCGTCATGCTCCAGGCCGGCAGCCAGGTGGCTCACGGGGCGGCGCGGGCCCTGAGGGGCCGCCCCGTGAATCCGCCGGGCGGACCCACGCCTCAATAGGCGGATCCAGGAAAGTAGGGTCCCCGCCGCGCGGGGAGGGGGAGGCCCAGGAGCGCGCGCCCCGCGCGCGCGGGGCCCGCGAAGCCCTGGCCAGCGACAGGCGCTGGCAATGTCCAAAATCGGCTGCAGAACAGCGGTGCGTGAGGAAGTGCCACCCCGCTTCGTGCCTCGGGCGGGTCTGAGATCTCCTTCTCCAGACATGTACAGATATAGATGTTTAACTATATGTGTACCTATACTTTACCGTTATAACATATATATATATATATATATATGTAGTTATGAATATATGTATATATGGGCGTTCGGGTATTTCCGCACCTGTGTTTTTTTTTTTTCAGAGGAAGCCGATTGTCAAGGGTCGTCTTCCTCCTCGTTCTCCTCCCCCCTCTCCTCCTCCTCCTCCACTTCCTCTCTCCTCATCCGCCTTCATCCTCCCTTCCCCGTCCTCCCTTCTTTACAACGGCAAGGAACAACAAAAGAAACACAAGGAAAAACAAAAAAAAAAAAAACAAAGGCGGACCACCGAAAAACAACAAAAAACACAAAACACAAAAATAATGAAATCAACAACAAACTACTTTCTCTTAGCGGGGGTCGGGGGTGGACGAAGCATTGAAATCTTTGTTGTTTTTGTTTGTTTTGTTGTTCCTTGAGCTTTTGTTGGTTGTTCAGCGATCTGCCTTTGATTTCTTTGGTTTGTTTTGTTGTTCCTTAGGTTTCGTTGGTTTTTCACCCCCCGACCCTCCTCCGTGGGGGGCGGACGGCCTCTGGCGCCCCCAGGAGGCCCCAGGACGCCCCAGGAGGCCACAGAGAGGCCCCAGAGAGGTCCCAGAAGGCTCCTGGAGAGGACCCAGGAGGGAACCCAGGAGGGGACCCAGGAGGGAACCCAGGAGGGGACCCAGGAGGGAACCCAGGAACAGACCCAAGAAGGAACCCAGGAGGGGACCCAGGAGGGAACCCAGGAAGGGACCCAGGAGGGAACCAAGGAAGGGACCCAGGAGGGAACCCAGGAAGGGACCCAGCAGCGAACCCAGGAACAAACTAACACAAACATACACCTATGCATATACATGTGTGTATATCTATATATATATATATATATATACATATACATACATGTGTACTAGGACCACGCGCGCGCGCTTCGCGCGCGCTGAGGCTCTAGGCGCGCCAGGGAACTCGCGTCGCAAATTGCCAATGAGGAAGCAGGGTCGATTCTGAAATGCTTTCGGGGCTGGTGGGACCTATACTTTGGACGCCCGAAATTGGCACGGAAAGAATGGGTACAATGTCCAACAGCAAATTTTTGTCCCAAACCAACAGCGGCCGCTGTTTGGCAGGCGGCATTCTGTCGCGAATGGACACCGGCCGCGGCGACACCGACAGCGAGTCCTGTCCAAAATGATCAGGAACTGATGTTGGACATTGTACCCATTCTTTCCGTACCAATTTCGGGCGTCCAAATATACATTCGCAAATACTTTTGGGATCCCGGCGACGTGTAGGGAAGCCTTGGGGCGTCTTCAACCATTCTAGCGCGTCTCTGGATCCGCCCGAGGACCAGAGGAGGAGCTGAACAAAGAAGTGGGGTGCCCGAGTCTGGCTCCGTAGTGCACGCCAACGGGGCCAAACCACGGTGCATCGAAGGCCGCCCCCCTCCTCCCTCCCTCCCTCCTGGCCACGCATCTGGGGCCAAAGCATGGTACAACGAAGGCCAAGCAATCTCTCTGGGTCGCACCGGCAAGGCCTCAAGTTCGATGACTTTGGCTTCTCGGGCGCATGATTAAAAAGCTTCCCGGCCACCTCCAGCCGTCGTTGGGCCGTCTTCGAGCCTCTTAGACTCGTGCTGAAGATGCCGTCTCGGGGATCTTTTGGAGCCGTTTGGGAGCCGTCTTGGGGGCATCCTGGGCCATATTGGAAGTGGGGCCGTTTGGGGGCCAGTTTGGGGGCCTCTTGGGCTGTCTTGGGGCCCCCTTGGGGCAGCTCTGGGACCGTCTTTGGCCCATCCTTTTTTTCAAGAGTGCTCCTGAATGGTCTCTGCAGAGTCTCTGTGCATCGATGTCCTCCTGGCACACCGACCAAGAAATCATCGGGGACATTGTGACTCACGATGTCGCGAAACGCACGCGATCATACACTGCGAGTGGGGCAGAAGCGGTCAGGCGCCACGCACGGGCAGGCCCTGGCAAACCGGCGATGCTTAACCGTCTGACCACAGACGGTCTGGATCTAAAAAACTGCCTGGGCGTCCCCCCAGACAAAAAAAACGCGCTGCCTTCGCAAACAGAGCCACCACACCTGAGGATCCAATCATATTGTGGGCATGATGCGCAATCTGGGCAGCAGTACTATATTTGGTGAGCGTCGTGCGACACTGTGCACCAGGCCTCGAGGCGTCGGGAGAGAGGGACAAAGCCAAGGTGATTCCTCACCGTCTTTGGCCCATCTTGGGCCGTCTGGGGGGCCGCTTGGATCTGTTGAGCCGTCTTGTACCGCCGCATTCGCCCAGCCCGAGAGATAGGGACGGAGGGAGAAGGAGAGAGAGCGAGAAAGGGAGAGAGAGAGAGAGAGAGAGAAACAAAAAGAGAGAGCGAGAGAGTAAGAGGGAGATAGACAGACAGAGAGAGAGAGAGAGAAGAAGAGAGAGAGAGAGAGAGAGCTCGAAGCGCAGAGAAGAGACGGAGAATCAAATGATGATCATCGCAGGGGGGCGAAACCACCGTGAACACCCATTGTCGATTCCCCCCCCTTGCCCTCAGCACCCGAACGCCAAAAGATACGAAAACCATTCCCGAGGAGGGGGGGGGGAACCGCCGAGCGATATCGCTAGCACCCCAAAGAGGTTGACAATTCCTCGGGGGGGGGGGTCCTGAACCCTCAGGAGTCCTGCAGGAATCCTCCAAGCACGGCCCCCCCCCCCCCCGTCCATGGACGAGACTACACCGTAGGAGCACCCCATGAGTACAGGGCCCCCCTCCCTGGCATCGTGCTGCAATTTCTCTTGAGCTCTCGTTGGGATCCGATTGGGGTCTTGTCTGAATCCTGTCATGAGACTCCCGCACTGAGGGGACTATGGGGCGGGAGATCACTTCCAGGGGCGAGAAGCGATATAGTTTCGCCGAACATGTGGGTCAATAGTCGCAGTCCAAGGTTACACACCACAAGACGTGTTCTGCCGACGGCAACGAGCAACTAAAGAGAAAAAAATATTATGACATCACAGCAACGGGACAGGATCACTGGATGATCAGGGAAAAAATCTGCGGCTTGCTGTGGTGCCCACTCATGCCACGGACCGTGGCGCCCACCCATGCCACGGAGGCTTGGTCAGAGCAACCCCAGGCGGGATCCAAGACATAATCGGCATGTGTATGTACAAAGAAGTCGCTTTGAACGGCGGGGCGAGCAGATGCTCCGCCAACTCCGCGAACAACAGGCCTGGCCGCAGAGCCGGGCCAGGCGTCGGGATTCTCAGCGCCATGGAGCCTGAGCACAGTTGTGAGCGACCCGTGCCCTCTGGGAGCTGGACAGAGCTACAGGCGGCCCGCCCGGCGCGAAGACTGCGTTGCCGCGAAGCGAGAAACATGTCACACGCACGACAGGCCCGTGCGTGGACCGCCAAACCTCGAACGCATGCATCGGGGGGTGGCGTGGGGCGCGCTCAAGCGCCCGCACGCGCTGCGGCGCCGGCCCGGGCGCCTCACAGGCTACGAGTATCTCTCTCCAGCCTCACTGCCTGCGAAAGCCGCGCTGCGGGGTCACAGCTGGGCGCGGCCGAATACTGTGCCCTCGAGCTGCACATGGCCGCCCGCCGCTTCGGGCGGCGCCGGGCCGCCCGCGAGAGCGGCCGCCTGGGAAGCCCCCCGCGAGACCTGCTCCTGGGCCAGAGGCTGGCCGCTGGCGGCCTGGGTGATGGCCGGAGGGGCGCCGTGGCGCGACAGCCGCCGCGGACTGCGGGGCACGCGCCGGCCCAGCAGGACGTCCTGGAGGACGATGCGCACAACTCCGCGGCCGAGGTCCTGGCCGTCGGGCGGCCGCGTGAGGTCGAGCCTCAGGAGCGCCGAGAGCATCCGCCTCGACCCCCTCGAGCTGTGGGCACCTTCTTGCTGCGCAAAGGACCTCAAGTGGAGCCGCTCGTGGTACTGCAGGTGGGCGGAAGCGACGCCCTCCTCCAGGAGAGCAAAGTACGCGTCCTGCGCCCAGCTGGTGAACTCGCTCTGGTGAGACTGCCGCATGGCGGTCAGGAGCTCGCCCCGGGCGTCCACGTACTTCGCGAACGCGGGGGATGCGAGCCTCACGGAGTAGTTCGGGGTCAAGACGTCGACCCAGGCCACGGGCTCCGCCTCGGCGCCTGGGTCCTCCCAGCTCTCGTCCAGCGAGCAGGGCTCGGAGCTCACGTCCGAGGAAGCCGGACTCGAGGCCGAGGCCGTGGAGTCTGCAGACGCAGCCAGTGGCCTGGGATGTGCTGTGCAGGCGCTCGGCGGGCCGCTCAGTCTGCCGCCATACCGCGTCCTCTCCGACCCGCTGTCCCTCAGCATCGTGGCTGTGTCCGTGAACTCGCGGATGCCGACGAAGTACGCGGCCTGCCCCTCCCGGTTGACGAAGCGCACGCAGAACACCTCGACGTCGAGGGGTATGCCGGAGCCGTCCCTCATGGAGACGTGGAACGCCGCGCTGAGCCCGACCGCATCCTCGCTCAGAAGCCAGACCTTGCCCATCTGCTCCGAGAACTTCTCGCGGTCCTGCTGGGACGCCAGGAACTGTCTCAGGTCCTCGCCCAGGAGGGGGCGCCGCGGGTTCAGCAGGAGCATGTCCACCAGCTCAGGGCACCCGTCCTGCAGCCGGAAGTCGCTGTCAAGCTCCACGACGGCGTCGCAGACGCCCCGCAGCACTGAGCGCGCGGCCTTCAGCTCGTTCCGCGACACGTTCGCTTCCATGTTGCACTGCACGGCCAAGTAGAACGAATGGTGCAAGGACGTGACAACAACGGCGCAGATACCAGTGGCCATCAGCAGCTGAGAAACCCTCTGCCCCCGTCCTGGCAGACAGTCTTCAAGAGGGCTGCTGGCGCCGAAAGATATATTGCTGCAGATTGACAAGGATACGATCCATAGCCATGTGAAATTGGCACGGAAGTTCATGTTGAACCAGAACACCAACAACGTACCAAAAATGGGCAAGATGATGGAGGGGGCTGCGAACAACCCTGGTGAGGCCAAAGGTGGTACCCACAGGACAATGCATGCCATCATAAAGGAAGACCACACATCCAATGTTCTTGACGTCAGGCTTGAAGGAAACGCCCAAAGAAAAAGAACGGTGAAACAGACCACAAACAGACAGACATCCTGTGCGACGGAAGTCGGGCGCGAGACACCCTTGGCGGCCGAGTACAGGTCGCGTCCAAGAACGCTTGCAACGACCACGCAGCCATATGGGATCGCGGCATGCGCGCGAACCAGCCGCCACTTTTGCAACTCCTGGGCCAGCTGCTTCGCGGAGAGGCCGTCCACTGTGCCAGCCAGGACCAGTACCAAGCTTCTGCACCGTCCCAAAAGCTGGCCGAAGTACGAGACCACCGACAATCGTCGCGACTTGTGCCTTTCCTGCCTGGCCACGCGGACGAGCAGAACGCAGCCGCCCAGCACGAACCAAGTGGCGCACATAGAGGCAAACACGTTCCGCTGTGTTCTCTCTTCCGAGGAATGCTGGGTGGCGGCCTCCATGGTCGATGGGCGCACACCAGTGCTCACCGCCTTTGGGCCCGGTGGCGGCCACGAAGCAAGGACGCAGGCGCTGCTTGAGACAAAATGGCTTAAGCCATTCTGGCTACGGACCGTTCTGGAGCCTTCTTGGGGCCATCTTGGGACGTCCTTGGCCCGTCTTGGCCGTCTTGGGGACTCGTTGGGGTCTCTTGGGGCTTTCGTGGGGCCTCTGGGGCCGCCGTGGGGCCATCTGGGGCCGTTTGGGATCCACGTGGGAGGGCGCTCGGGACCGAGCCACCCATGTCGGGACTCGGATCATTTTTCTTGACATCGCTCAACTGGCTGAAGTGGTACAGTTATGTTGGAGATGACTTGCTGCGCTGGTTTCTGGCTTCAAGTACCTCCATGCCAGCAGAAAAATAAAGAAGGGGAGTAGGAAAAGCCAGATGCGTTCGCGTCACATATGACACCCTACAACTCCCTCCCATCCTTTATCATGGCGAAGATATGCTCTCTATTCGCACAGCCGAATGTCGAGCAGGGCAATGACCGCGAGAGGGTGCGCGATGCATCGTTGAGCACGACATGGCATGGCGTAGAAGAGCACAGCAGAGCGTAGAATATCATAGCATGGCGTGGCATTGCGCTGTGAAGCATTGCATCACAGAGCATTGTTCAACGTAAAGCGTGGCATCCCACAGCAGCGCAGAACAGAGCATCGCACAGCATGTCATGGCAGGGCACCGGGCTCCTCGAAGGGTACGTGGATGGCCTGCGAAGCGTCGGGGCCGGTCTGGAGCCGCGGCTCCGTGTTCAGCTCATGGGCTCCGCGGCCAGCTCCCCACACGGCGGTGCTGACAAAGAGCACCCGCGGGCTCTGCTTGCAACACCGCCCTCTGAAAGCAGAAACGGGACTCCCGCTTGACACCTCCTCCAAACGCCCCCCCCCCCGAAGTGGGGGGGCCTTCTGCGGCCCAAAAACTCCACGAATCCACACCGGATGTGGAATCACCTGCGATGTTTTTGTGGCTGGGGGTAATTTTCTAGGTTTGGGGCCTATTTGGAAGGACCGAAAACGCCCGCGCTGCAGCGGGAGCACGTTTTGGAATAACCAGAGGCGCAGAAATGGGGCCAGCGCTGCAGCGGGAGCAACATGTCGAAGGACCGGAAAGAATCGGATTGCCAAAAGCACATATGAAAACCAAGAGATGAAGCCAGCGCTGCAGCGGAAGCACGTTCGGAACGAGCGGAAGCGCGGAAATGAGGCCAACGCTGCAGCGGGAGCACGATTCGGAACGAGCGGAAGGCCGAAAATGAGGCCAGCGCCTCAGCGGGAGCAACATTTTGAAAAACCAGCGAAAACCCGGTTACCGGTAATCCTGTTTGTGAAAACAAACGCGGAAGGGCCTCAGGAGAGAGAAGGGAAGGGAATAGTATTCATATTGTGTAGTTGTGGAGTGGCGAAACTCTGGTTTGCAGACAGACAGCCCCTACTAGAGGTAGCCCCAGCTGGCCTCAACAGGCCCCCCTCCAAGAACCCAAAACCCATGGAAAGACATCTCATCATCACTACCACTATCAACTATCACCATCAACCCTCGCCAAGGAGAATGAGCCTCGCCAGGGTGTTGACGCCGTTGCCCGGGGAGAATAAGGGACCGTACTGCGGGTCCTGCTTCTGACCCGTCCTCGTGTTCACGAAGTGTCTGTAATTGGCCTCGCAACCCGAGCAAGAGCGAGGAGAAGCACGCCTCCTCGTCGCTACCTCTCGTTCTTCGCTCCTCCTCCTCCTCCTCCTCCTCCTCCTCCTGCTCCTCCTGCACCTCCCCCTGCTCCTCCTGCGCCTCCTCCTCCTCATCCTCATCCTGCTCCTCCTGCGCCTCCTCCTGCTCCTCCTCCTCCTCCTGCTCCTCCTCCTCCTCCTCCTCCTCCTCCTCCTCCTCCTCCTCCTCCTCCTGCTCCTCCCCCGCACCATCACCATCACCATCACCATTATCATCACCGTGATCATCTGTGTGATCATCAGCGCCACTACCATCGTCGCCATCCCCGGCATCGTCATCCCCCCCTCGGCGCGCGGACCCGGGACGGGGTGGGAGGAGAAGGAAAAAAGGAAGGAAGGAAGGAAGGAAATCAGGAAGGAAGGAAGGAAGGAAGAAAGGAAGGAGAGAAGAAGGAGGGAGGAAGGAAGGAAGGAAGGAAATCAAGAAGGAAGGAAGGAAGAAGGAAGGAAGGAAGAAAATCAAGAAGGAAGGAAGAAAGGAAGGGAGGAAGGAGGAAGGAAGGAAGAAAGGAAGGAGAGAAGAAGGAAATCAAGAAGGAAGGAAGGAAGGAAGGAAGGAAGGAGAGAAGAAGGAGGGAGGAAGGAGGGAAGGAGGCTCAGGAACACGATGGAGCACTACGGATGGGTGACAACGGGCGGGGGTACTTGCCTTGCCTGATAATGGAGAGGCTCAGGAGGCCCGTGGGGAGCGGCCGGGCACGCACTGCTGAATTGCCTGGGGCCTGTCGCCGCAAGCCTCCCGCCGGGGGAACAGAGCACCAGGGAGAGCCCGACTCAAAACTGTAGCGAGACGCACCCGTGGAGCTGCCGACCCGCCACCACCTGGGGCCCAGAGCGGGCCGACACCCCGTCGCCGACGATCGGGTGGGGCCCGCACCTGGTCTCACACGCTTGAGGTGTGGATTCCTGGTTCGAACACAAGGTAACAAGCGACAGCAAACACACAGAAAAACTGACCACCCTCGCTTCGCCAGGTGGCGGGGGGTCGCGCAAGGCCCTGCCCGACTTCGGGGGCGGGGGCGGCAGGGCGGGGGCAGGCCGATCAACGGCCCGAAGGTCGGTCTTGATGCACTCCGCTATAGCTTCCGACGCCATGCGACGCATCAGGGCAGCCTCAGACTCCCCGAGGCCCTTACAATGCCCTCGGCCAGCCTGGCGGATCCTGGCCCTGGAGGAGGTGTTCGGACCGAGGTGCTCAACAGCAAGATTCCGACATCTGAACCAATGTTCGTGTAAAGACTTCCGATCCGTGAAAAACGAAGGGACCAAGGAGAGCTTCCACGGCGACCGCGACGGCCGTGGCTTCCGCGCAGGGAACCGTCTGACGCCAAGAAACCGGCGCCGGCGGTAGGACCCCACGAAAGGCCGCTCAGGGGGCCTCGATCGGTTCGAGCACTACGACGCCCACTCCTGTCGACGCCGAAGGTCGCCCGAGAACCCCCCACCCGACCCACCCCCAAACGCAATCACGAAACCTTTGGCGTCTCGGGGGGGGGGCAGCAACAGCCCCAAACTCGAGACGGAACAGGGCTTTGCTCTCGTCGAAGTGCGGGGTGGGCTGAAAGATGTCCACAGCCCTTGCGGCCAGAAACTAAAGCAGCTCTCGTGATGAATTCCAGCAGCCTCGACCGAACCCTCAAACATGTCCAAAACCTCGCGACCTCGTCTCCCGCGAGACCTTCAGACACGACGGCGCAAAGTTTCAGTTTCCTCTCCGCAACGAGCGCGCGCGCAGGGCAGGCTGTGCCACGCGCCCTGGGGCCCGCTGGCACGCGCGGGGCCGCCGCCCTCCCGCCGCGACGACCACGACCAGGCCTGCGCCGCTCAGGCCGTCGGACCCTGCGAGCGCACGAGCCGCGCGCAGCGGGTCAGCGCCGTAGATCAGGTCGGCCGCCGGCTCGCGCTCCGACGCCAGCCTTCAGGGGGCCCGCTGGACTCTGGCCCCCGCGTCGCCCAGCAGCTCCGCAACGTCCCCGTGGAAGCTGTCGAAGGCGCTGTCTGTGCCCACTGGGATCTGCCAAGTCACACCCCGGTCTGCGCCCCAACTGGCAGGCGACGTCGGCCCCAGACCCATACCAACTAAAGTCGCAGTCGCTGTGGCAATCGGTCCTCTTGCAATATTAGATTACCTCTGCCCAGCCAATCTGGGCCCAGTCCCCATCTTCCCACGCGCCGCCGCGACGCGCTGGCGCACATCTCGTTCTCGCCCCGCGCAACCGCGACGCAAAATAAGCTCGCGACAAACTGGAACTGCTGGGCCCCGCCCGACGCAGACTAGCCCCAACGACGCGGTCGAGCACCTGCAAAGACTACACTACCGCCCACTGCTGACTGGGCCGCATGCCGCCACATCTGCATCAGTTCATACGGTAATTTCCGAATGACCCTCGTAGCTTGGACCCTGTTTCTCTCGGCTATCTCCTGCAGTCTCGCTCGCCCGCGCATTCCCCCGACTGCGTTGGTCGCGCGAGCTGCGGCTGTAAACAGCGGCGGGGCTCGCTTGCGCACGCGCCGATTGCCTCCGCTGCAGTCCGCGCCAAGATCCACGGCTGCGCCCGCCGCATCAGATGGGACTCCGCCGGCAGCAAGGCCTACCGCGACCTTCTTCGCCACGTCGGAGCTGGAGGCCACCGCGACGGACTTCGATCGGATGGCGAGCGTCGCCTCCTGGAGCCGCTCGCCAATGGCTGCGCCGACCGCGACGCGGGCGCCAGCGACCACCCCGGCAGCACCTGCGGCGCGGACGACTGCATCGTCAAAGAAAGTGCGCAAGAGGATGTTCAGCTGGCACCTCTCGCGCGCTCTGTTCAGGGCGAGGCCGAGGAAAAAATTCGCGAGGCGCCCTCCACGTGACGATCTAGCCACCGGACCTCCTTCTGCGAATATATCACAACTGACGCATAATAAATTTCAAAAAGATTGAAGCCATGAAAACTGGGAGCAAAAGAAAATTCCGCTTCTGGAACACCTCATTCCCATCCTGCGCGGCAGAGTAACGGGGTGAATACTGATCCAGAAATCCGACGTCGAGGAGAAGCGTCGCCGCGCTGACCCTCGGCTCTCTGCAACTTCAGGCAGGGCATACTCGAATGAGCGACGCCTGCGGCGCTGAAGATCCAATGACGGCTGCGCCCCGATGCCTCCCCCATCTCCTCGCCCCACCCAGCCGCCACTAAACGCGACAAATTGCCCCAGAGAGCCCGACCAGAACAAATAAATGTCCGAAGACGCGGTCGCC